GTGTGGAATTTAATGGGAAATGCCACCCCGTCCATTGGCTTATTGAGCCCCCCTATGGGGTTTGAGGAAGACTATCGCTGCTCTAGGCTTCACCTTCTCTTGCATTCTGTAGGGGAATTGCTCTGGGAAAATAGAGATTTCCTCCCTATTAGGTCCACAGGACTTATCCACTGGGCCCCCTTGGAAACGTACGGGGTGCAGATACCCCACGTCCAGCCACCAGAGAGGGACTCTGATAACTGCCGTCATCTGGCTGGCTCATGAGTCGAGGCCCAAGGAACACCCCCTGGGTCTGTTGGGGTCATTTGGCGCATGGGGCACTTCTGTGCCAGCAAAAGATTTCCCTGGGGTGGCAGGTGGGACCAGTGGGACATTATCAACCCATCCCCCCCTTGGTGTTAGCTGCCACAGTTTGCTGCAATCCGGTGCATGTCCCTCCCGGACGCCCCGTCTCCTCAGGACAGCATTAAGAGGGATTGGAAGCATGAACGTCCCTGGCTGGTCCTGGATCGAGACTGAGGGGGTTTCTCTTGAGCACGGCTCTGCTCTGCAGGGCACGAGTAACAGCTGCTGGGAGCCACCGAACTGCCCTGCAGCTTGGATGGGGTTAGTTAGAAAGGGCTCTCCGGGGCCTGACAGTGACCTCCATGAAAAAGTTACCATGGCAAGGAGCTGCTCTAGCAACAGGATCCGCCCTGTGCGTGTGATCAGCCAGTGAGAGTTAGGCCTGATGATTCAATGCTGCTAGCGGGGGATTTCCTTGACCAAGTGCTGATGACCTGCTGGAGTGCTGGTGCGGGGAAATCTCTGCATGGTTCAGCTCTTGTGAAACTCAGTAGGTGTCTGCCTAACTTAGGGTGACCAGATAGCAAACGTGAGAAATCGGGACAGGGGGTGGGGGTAATAGGAGCCTATATAAGAAAAAGACCCAAAAATTGGGACTGTCCCTATAAAATCGGGACATCTGGTCACCCTAGCCTAACTCCTTTCTAGGATGACATGAGGCCCAGGGCAAGAGGGTGCTAGGTCTGAAATGGTGTCAGCATGACCAGAACGAACCCCCGCTGCTCCTTCTTCTTCCCGTGCCCCTTCCGGGGTCCCTCTGTGCCTCCTTTTTCTGTCCCTGCCTCTCCGTTTGCCTCCTGCATGGCCCAGCCTGCTGTATCCCCCCAGCTGACCCTGATGCATGAGTCGCCAGGAGTGGGTGTCGATTCCTGGCGGTGCTGTGCAGTGTGGTCTGGGGGGGACCCCGTCTCTGAAGACTTCAGTGTGATTGTCACTTCTGTTCCCCATCATCTCATCATCCTAATTGCATGGTTTCCTGCAGAGGATTATCCTTCCCGGGGAAGCACACCCCACCCTCTTGCTCCAGATGTCACTGCACAGCTCCAAGAAGTCATTCTGCTCACTTGTTTACTTGTCACTGTTAGCCCTGGCTGCGGGTCGGGTTGGTTTCACTCACCCGTGCTGTCTCTGCAACACAACAGAATCCACTCTGCATTCGTTCCGATAGGGGGATACAACGGGAGGCTGCTCTGAGTCACACTTGCACAGAGGAAGCTACTCCAATTTGGCTTCATTATTTATACGACTGGCTTAAAATACCCTCGACATTCCTGGAAAATGACTTCTCTTTGAAGTGCGATTTCTCCTGAAAAATGACTAAAATGGTCCCTTCTCTTTGCTGGCTGGGAAAAGATTCGTTTTCCCCTGCAAAAATTTGCAACAAAACCAAAGTGTTTGTTTTCATTGAACTTTTCCTTAACAGTTGGGGGTGGGGGGTTGTGTAATCAAAAAACCAAAAACGTCTCCGTTTTTGGCATTGATGTTTTCAGTTATAGCCCTACAATTTCTGATGAAAATGGGGATTTTCACCAAACGATTTCCATCTTCACTGAGAAGCCATTTCTCGTCACTTAAAAAGTCTCAGCAAAAACTTTTCAACCAGGTCGGCCCCCTGTATGCACAAAAGTTGGATCTGCTGACTTTAGGGACCAAAACAAGACCCAAGCAGCTGATTATTTGTAGTGCCATAGCACCTAGGAGCCCCAGGCATGGACCGTGCCCCGTTGTGCTAGGTGCTGTACAAACCATAGAGCAAAAAGACAGTCCCTGTCTCTTTGAGCACAGCTCTGCTGAGCTGGCTTGGCCTGAACACCCCGCCATGCAGAACCAGCCCAACACCTGGAGAGGCAGCTGAGGTCTGGTCCGTCCTGGGCAGCATGAATAGGACCCTTCGTTATGTCCCGATTGGTTGAGTTGTGCAGCCAGTCAGGGTGCCTGGGCCTTGCTGAGGTCAGAATGTGGCCTGCAGAACCTCCAATACAGAGGCTGACGCATGAGAAGGGGCGAACTCAGTGTGACCCTCAGATCCCAGGTTGAGTCGGCAGGGATGTCAGCAAACCCCCTTTTCCCCTGGGCACTGAGCACCTTTAGGGAATAGCCATGGAGCCCCGTGATGCCCTTTTCAGACAGAGAGACGCATTTTAAAACCTGCTTCAAGGGTGTTTCTCTGAACAGCTCCCCAAGGGATGCTGCTAGTGGACATCTTCACCAATGTCGCTGGAGGCAATGATCCATGGACATGTCAAAACCAGGGTGTTTGGGCCTTCTCTGCTGCCTTTCACGGGAGGGACTCAAAACACTTTCTGAACACTAAACCACACAACACCCCTGCCAGGCAGGTAAGTGTCATTGTATAGATGGGGAAACCGAGGCACAGACTGTCAAAGGGACTGGAAGCCTGGCTCACACCTCTATTCAGTAGCAGAGCTGGGGATAAAGCCCAGGGGTCCTGACCAGTTCAGCACTGCGAACACTGGCTCGCCCATTCTCAGATCCCTGGAGGATCTCTGCACAACCATGGCTGCTGTTAAAACAAGCCCTGACCAGCTTAGATGGTGTTGATGGTAGGACATAGAATGAAAAAGAAATTTGCCCCAGGTTAACCAGGGGGCATTTGAGTTGAGAATTGAACTCAGGTTCCCATGAGGTTCCGGACCGCGCCTGAACCACGCGCCCCTCCTTCCTTCCCAGCGCTAGACGTGACCCCTCTACAAAAACCGAGGAAGAAATGGGTGGATTTTCTTGCCCATCTGTATGTGTCCGGATTTGATCCAGTGGGTCAGTTAAATGGGGGCCGATCTCTCTGCTCAGAAGGGATTGTAGAAGCGGCGGAAAGTTTTCTGGTGCGGTTGTTTAATGCTCAGCGCTGGCCCAGCCACACACAGAGATCGGCCCCGCCCAGAGGACATGGGTGGCGGGTATCATACGCCAGGGGAGGTTAAGCCTCCCCTAACCCAGGTCGTGGCCCCGCCCACACTTCCCCCAAGGCCCCGCCCACACTCCCTCTCTCCCCCAAAGCCAGCGGGGGCTCAGGGCAGTTTGGCTGGGACTCCTCCAGCCACGGGGGAGGGAGAGTGGGGGACTCGGGGCTCTGGTGGGTGAGGGGCGCAGACGGGGTGGGGTAGCAGCGGGGCTTCTAGCAGAAGGGGTGTGTCCCAAGGGGCATAGCCTCCCCAAAGGGGGGTTCCCGCACCGCCCATGCCGGCAGCGCTTACAAACTGCAGCCAAAATCAAAATCTTCCTCCTGTGGCAGGCACCAGCAAGGCCAGTGGCTGCACCCCTGTTTTCTGCTGATTGCTCCCTTTGCGGTGCTCGCGTTTCCCCCCACTGCCTCTCCGTGGCTGTGCTGGGGCCCCACCCAGGGCAGCCCCTTACTCAGCGTGTGGCTCCGGATCCTACCGACAGCTGGTGGGCCTGGTTCTCCCCGGGAATCTGCCGCTGGCCTGCCCTTACGCCAGGTGGACTCTGGCCCATGGAGAGACCCATCTTCTGCACTGCAGCCCTTCTCCTCCCCTTCCCTCCCTGCTCCACAGTGGAGCGTCCTCCCAACCAGGGCTGAGCTCATCCACCGGCTAGGAGAGAGGTGGCCAGCTGGGCTGGGCTTGTGGCCGCTTAGCCACGTCAGCTCTGTCCCTGGGCCTGCCCCGGGTCCGACCTGTTCTCGGTGGTGTTTTAAACCCGGGGTAAGTGAATTGTCGCTGAAACTGGGCAGCAGCTTGCAGTGCCCCCCGCCAAACGCCACGAGTGAGGCGGGGGTGGGGCCTTACGGATCAGAGCTCCAGCAGGAGGAGATATTTGGGTTTCAATGCCCCAATTTGGAGTGGGGCTGACCTGACTCCCGGAGGGTCATTAGAACATGCTCCAGTGGTTACAGCACAGGCCTGGGGTCCAGGACACCTGGGTTCTAGTCCCTGCTCTGCAGCTGACTTGCTACGTGGCCTTGGGCAGCTCCCTTTCCCGCTGTGTGTCTAGTCTCCCCCCTGTCCAATGAGGGTAACGGCATCTCCTGCGCGCAGTGCGACCAGCGGGGGCAGTAATCACACAGCGAGCTCTGGGCACTGCTACTGGCCGAGCCAGGGGCCTCCTGTGTGTCTGTGTTAACAAACCCTTGTGAGCTGCTCTGAGATACGCGAGGGGTGAGAGCTGGGGGGGCCAAGGGGTCTGCACCCCTGTGTGGGCTGTGTGGCCCTCGCCTGGAGAGCAGGTCCCTGTCTCTAGCAGGCTCCTTGTGCAGGGATCCCCAGCTTGGGCTGCGGGGTGCTGAACGCCGGCCTGCTCTCTCTCTTCCAGCTGACCCCCCTTTCAACGCCTACCCCGCCGTGATAGGCGCTGCAGTAGCAGGGATGGTCGTGGCGGCGGTTGCCTCTCTGCTGGCGTTTCAGTACATTGTCCGGAACCGGGACAACAACCCACGTGAGTGCGGGGGAGGCCGGGGCCCCTTCTCGCTGCCACTGGGGCCGTTCCGGTCAGGGGAAGCAGGCACAGCGGAGAGCACAGGGCTAGAACACGGGGAATGCCCATGCAGCACAGCTAGACTGGGACCCAGCCGATGGTGCCTGGTGCTGCAGTGACAGATACACCCTGAACGCTTTAGACTGGGAGGCAGAGGTGGATTAGGAGGGACACGGTGCCAGGCAGAGGTGGGTTAGGAAGGACAGAGTGTCAGGCGGAGGTGGGTTAGGAGGGACAGAGTGCCAGGCAGAGGTGGGTTAGGAGGGACAGCGTGCCAGGCAGAGGTGGGTTAGGAGGGACAGCGTGCCAGGCGGAGGTGCTGAAGTTAGGAAAGACAGTGTGTCAGGTGGAGGTGGGTTAGGAAGGACTGCGTGTCAGGCAGCGCGGCTGGGGTTAGGATGGACAGCGTGTCAGGCAGAGGTGGGTTAGGAGGGACAGCGTGCCAGGTGGAGGTGGGTTAGGATGGACAGCGTGCCAGGCAGAGGTGGATTAGGATGGACAACATGTCAGGCGAAGGTGGGTTAGGAAGGACAGCGTGTCAGGCGGCGGTGGGTTAGGAAGGACAGCATGCCAGGCGGAGGTGGATTAGGATGGACAGCATGTCAGGCGGAGGTGCTGGGGTTAGGAAGGACAGCGTGCCAGGCAGAGGTGGGTTAGGAAGGACAGCGTGCCAGGCAGAGGTGGATTAGGATGGACAACATGTCAGGCGGAGGTGCTGGGGTTAGGAAGGACAGCGTGCCAGGCGGAGGTGGGTTAGGATGGACAGCGTGCCAGGTGGAGGTGGATTAGGAAGGACAGCGTGCCAGGCGGAGGGCTGCTAGAAGGGC